ATGCTGTAGTATATAGCTAAAGTGTTTTAACTGGAATGTGGATGCATTTAATCTAGCTGTTCATATAAAATGTATTCAAAATCTAAAGTTAGAATGTAACTGTCAAACATTATGCACTATCAATTTCCAGAATTTAAATTCCAGAATCTTCTTTTGCTTTTAGGAGTAGATGGCCAGTAAAAGCAGTTTTTGACACCTGTCTCATCAGAGCACAGGGAGTGAAGGGTTCTGTTTAGGGGCTAAAGGGAAGGATTGCACTGATCTAAAGGTGAGTTTTGCGGAGGGCAGGACCATGCCATTTTCAGCACTCATCTGTTAATCTCTGTTTAGGAGAAGGCCCCAAACAGAATTAGTCACAGATCTGCAGGGTTCAGGAGAGCAGCCTACAACCCAAAACAAGCAATCAGAGCTGCCTGAGGTTTCTGCTGCCCCTAAAGCTCAGGCTTATCTGTCAATTATGAATAATGTTACATTTGCTCATTAAGGGAACATTGTCAAGGCTATTATTATAAACTGGTAAAAGCAATGATTTGCGGAATGTACAAATATAAAGAATACAATAAAAAAATCAAAACTGAAACTAAAGAACTGAACATCAGTTAGTCTTCAAAAAGTGTATATGCATGTATATATTTGCTTTTCAGTACAGGCATATGGTATGGCTAAATCTGAAAATGTTACATGTTATGAAGTTTTTTAATATCTATTTTTTATATTTAATATTGAATAATATTATTTACAGATATCTTTATATTGCTGTGTGTATATTTGTATTTCTTCATTTAAATATCTCCTCCCATCTCTCAGAATTTATTTCAACTGGGTAAAATTATAAATGTTGTTGCATTTGCTCATTAAGTTAACCTTTTCAAGGCTAGTCATTATAAATGGGTGAAAAAACCCCCGATTTGCTTAATGTACAAATATGATATAAGGATTATGATTCAATAAAATAAACAAAATTGAATTAAAATTAAAACAAATGAACAGCAACTAGTCTGTAAATATAGTAGGAAGACTTTATTAATAATATTATTTTAGTAATAATAATAATAGAGAGAGAGAAAGAGAGTAGGAAGATTATATTATATTATAGCTATTATATTATTCATAATATTTAAATAATAATATAGTAATTATTTGTATTTATTATTATTTATATTGTTATATTTATAATTTAATACTTCATGCACTTAGCAGATGCTTTTATCCAAAGTGACTAACAGTGCATTCAGGTTATAAATTTTTTAGCAGTATGTGTGTTTCCTGGGAATCGAACCCACGACCTTTTGCACTGCTAACGCAATGCTCTACCACTGAGCCACAGAAACATATTTTGACTATATTTATGTAGTATTCCTCTTCCTAAATATCTCCTTCCATCTTATAGAATGCAATTCATTTGCTACTCTTTTTATTAAAAATATCACATTTCATACAATCTAATATTTCCATCATGCTTTATGATATGATCATGCTCTTTTCATTTTTGGCTCCCTAGGCTGTCTCTAATCTCCTTCCCCTCTTTTCCACCTTCTGTTTGTCATTAACTGACAGTTATAGTTTAATTGTCCCTTGCTTTGAGCTTTTTGTGCTTTCATATGACTCTCTGGGGTCTCTGGTTAAGTTTCCACTGAAGAGCCTCGTCCATCTTCAGCTGATTCTTTCTCCACCTGCCGAGTTGGGGCAGTTTCCTCCTCTTAGTGATGCTTCCCCAGTCTTGAGCTTTACAGACAAGAGAGACGCTGCATGCTGCTCTCCAAAACATTGAAGTACTCGTTATAAATACTTACATCAGATTAAATCTGAGCCATAAGTAAAATGAAAGCATCAAGGGGGTGTTCATAGCCAGTGCAACAAAGATATTAATGATAATGATTAATGATGCAAAAACCTACTTACCAATAAATCATAACCAATGGATTTATTTCGTTATTTCATCTTCTCTATTGTAAATTGAAAATATTACAAACATGAAAACTTCTCAAAATAGAAAAAGATGCTTGTGAATCATTACTATATAGTATATATATATATATATACAGTATCTTACAGAAGGGAGTACACCCCTCACATTTTTGTAAATATTTTATTATATCTTTTCATGTGACAACACTGAAGAAATGACACTTTGCTACAATGTAAAGTAGTGAGTGTACAGCTTGTACACTCATTTGGACATTTTCACTTAGGGGTGTACTCACTTTTGTGGCCAGCGGTTTAGACATTAAAATTATTTTGAGGGGACAGCAAATTTACACTGTTATACAAGCTGTACACTCACTACTTTACATTGTAGCAAAGTGTCATTTCTTCAGTGTTGTCACATGAAAAGATAAATAAAGATAATAAAATATTTACAAATATGTGGTAGCTGATTCCATTGTAATGCATTATCAAAAATATCATACAATTTCAATCTTCTGTTATTATGTAGCCAGACTTAAAACTACTCAAAAACATGCTTAAAAGATAAAGAATTACAGCCATTTACTGTTTTACTAGAGTGCAAATGTGATGGAATCTGTTGAGAGTGTATTTTTTTTCTGTCATTATGTTCCCAGCTAAACTTCCTCTCCATCTTTTCAATCACTTTTCACTGAAATGATACAAGTGATATTTCTGACAGAAGTGTCAGAATATACTCCTCCAAATATATGTACCTCCCAAGGCATAATGTCTACCCACATCCTTGTCTCTGAAGGGCTGCGATATGTAGCTGTGTGCAAATGGCTGTACAAACATGAAGGCTGTTTTGATGTTTTTGTGGTCGTTGACATGGGAGGCCATCTCCTTGGGAGGTGAGGGGTCTCCTGCCCTCGAGTGACCTGTGACCCGAGTGAGCCCTTCTGCACTGATACAGGCTTTCAGCCCTAAGGGAAGGGGGAGAGAGGGGGATAGCACTGTAAGCCTCAGTCGCAGGCCTTTCTTTTATCTTTGGTATATTCTTTTAGTTGAGAATATGGAAATTGTTCTTAAAGAGAAATATAAGAACCTATCAACCAATTAAACCATCAAGAAATTTTCAAATCACAATAGGATTAGACTGTCTTTAGTTTATCCCTTCTGAATTGCATGTTTAATTCCAGAATATTGGCACTATTATGATATATTTCTATTATGATAACTAACTTTATGTGTAGTTGTGTACTACATTTAGTACATTACATTTAGTACATTAAAGAATATAATAAAGATGAGATTGCAGGTGTATGAGGGGAGCAGTTTTAAGCTTATGCCGCTGTGATTGTGAACAAAGAAATGTAGTCATAATGTCAATCAATATGGGGTGCTGTGTGTACATTAATGAGGAAAAAAAATTAACTTAAATGATTTTAGCAAATGGCTGCAATATAACAAAGAGTGAAAAATTTAAGGGGGTCTGAATACTTTCCGTACCCACTGTACATTTTGGAGGAAAAAGCGCTGTACTTTGAAGTCCATTGCAGATTATTACTTTTGTGAATGACACCGCATGGATGTTTGATGTGCGGTGAAGGTCTGTAAAATGAACTTCTTGAGAGGGTGATAAACATCATGTCTGTGCCCCTTTTTCTCGTTTCAGCTGACATGCGCCCTTCCCTAAGGCTTTCAGCACGCGCTATTATACTTCTCTATCCCCGACACGTGCAGATACAAGAGACTTGGCTGGACCTCATGCGGAACTCCCAAATAGAGGATTTAACCTGAACCCCTTCAGAAATCAACTGATCCACATATAGGCTACACAACGTGCACAGAATAAAAACTCCAATGAAGCCGTTTAAGTTCGCGGAAAAATTCGATATAAGGTCCGCGGATAACCAGAAAATGCTTGTATAATTTTTTAAATCATATTTATAATATTATTACTTGTATCAAATTGTGTAATCGATTAAGGAATGTTCATACATATTTTGATTACTATCTGACCGCGCAGATTAGCGTAAACATGGTAAAGATAAAAGCTTGCTGATTTGCTAAGATATCATACCATAAACTGTATTTTAAAAGACAACAAATTTAATTTAATATAAAATATTATAAAAAAGTGATTTTACAATGAAATATTATTACCTTTTAATTGATGGATAAAATATATTTAACAAGCCAATATTACCATTTTAAGGTATATATTTTTAAAATTTAGGCCTGGTTTCACAGACTTTAAGCCCTTAAAGTATAAAGTATTAAGTACTAGCCTATGTATTGCCTTGATTAAAAAAAATATATATATATGCTAATAGAGTTGCTTTAGTGCAATGTGCAGCACGTGGTCTTCAATTATCCACCTGTGTTATTATTCATACATTTATAGTAACAAACAGAGTTCAAATAGGTTGGTATATTTTTCATTATAATTTCATATAGGCTTCAGATAATAACTTTAAAATGCACACCCACTAAAATGGCAGCACGTGCATTTGTAACAATATTTAAAATGTGCACATACGATCTAGTTCACGGTAGAGCTAGTTTTTATTTTTGAGATCCTAATGACTAAAACTCATCCAGAAGGTTTGATATAATCAAGCGCTGTCGTGTGCATAAGCAGTTTGGTTGACAGATTAGATGACGCGTAGACTCTGTATCTGCGATCTATATCCATGCACCTGCTGCATAACCGTTATTTTAGGCGCTGTGACCCAGAGTGACGCTTCAATGGCTGCGCTCATGCCCGTTATGTTGGCAGACATTGCTATGAGTTGTTTATGCATAGAGTCACATTATGAAACAAACAAGCAAGCACAGAATATTTTTGTAGAAAACGTTATATTTATTCGTACAAGCATGTTTGCACCAGATTTATATTTTGAGGTAAATACGTAATAGAATAAATCTCTTTATATACAATAAAAATACAATAGCATACGAAAGCAACAGGTTGAATAAATAAAACAAAAAGAAAGTGGTGGGAAAGCAGTCGTGAGAGCTAGTTAACTGTACTCTTCTACGGATCAGCCAGACAGGAGAGGTTTCTTCCGGTCAAAATACATAATGCATAAGGCCAGATCTTTGTCTTGTCCATTCAGTCTATTGTCACAGCCTTGAAACGGAATTTTCACGCTCGTTTTTCTGCTTTATCGCTCTACAAATTGTAATATTGACTTTTCACCTTGGACTGCAAAGGCCAATCAGTCTTGGTTTAAATGATCATTTTCTCTAACAGGCGTTTAATGTCATGCTCCAAAGAATGCGAAAAGTGCAGAGATATTGGAAAAGGCATCAATATCGGTAACAAAACGTACAAAAATAAAAACATTCTCATCTGTGAACTGTCGTTAAGGCAAACAGTGAATACCTAATGTTGTGCTCTTGGTTCTATAAGAAAGGTAACAGCAAAGTCCTCTGATTTGAAACTACATACTTCTGCAGACTCTATACAGACATGAGAACGCTTGAGTCACATTAATAGATGCCAGGTACGAAGTTGTGGTAGCTGTAAACGACATCGGTCTGCAAATATCCAAAATCGTCCATGGCTGCAGGGCTGCCCGGGTCTGAACTGCAGTAAGACGGAGATGAAGACGAGGAGGATGCGCCGGATGGCCAGGAGCAAGAGTTACCGCCGGGGCTGGGCGCATCTCCCATGCAGCTTAGTCCGGGGCGCAGCAGCGGCGGGTCTCTGGACTTGCCCTGCCGCTGGTCTGCGATCCGGATGGTCTCGGAAAGCGCCCAGATGTAGTTGTGAGCGAAGCGCAGAGTCTCGATTTTGGTCAGCTTCGTGTCGTCGGGAAAGGCAGGCAGCACGCTTCTCAAAGCATCCAAGGCGTCGTTGAGGTTGTGCATTCTGTTCCTCTCGCGGTCGTTGGCCTTCACCCGGCGGTTCTTCTTCACGACGTGCACGGTGGCTTCGTTCCTCGCGCGCCCCCTGCGCCGCTTTTTCTGCTGGAGCTCGGCTGGAGACGCAGGCGGCTTGCCGCAGGAGGACGCGGGGGACGCGGAGTGGAGGCTGCTGCGTGAGTCCTCATCATCCGTGTGCGTAAAGGAGTAGTCACAGCTTGAGGTGTCCATGTCGGAGAAGACAGTCTCCATTGTTGATAACCTGGAGAAATAGCAAAATACAAGTTAGGAATACGCCAAACACAAGCTTAGAAAATCATTCCAAGTTCTCTGCGTGCAGCACTGAGGATGTTTGGTCCTGCAAACACGCACCTTATGTGCGCTGGGTGGGGAGATGGAACTGGGTGTTTGAGGTCTTGCTGAGTCCTGCAGATAGTTTGTGTTGAAGTTTAAGGCACGCGTCTGTCTTGCTCTTACCCCTCAATCAGCTCGTGTGAGCTTGTGAGCTTGGCACACGACTGGCCTCACCTACCTTATATACCCTGATGAGACAATGGACATACCCCCATCGCTTTGGCATTTTTGTGAAGGAAGAATGAATGGATTGCGTCAGGTCTGCCCCGTGCCGCACGACCATCTCATTAGCATAATTTATGCCTGTTGTTTGTTCGCCCTCTGAAGCGTGCCTGTAATCACCGCTGGCCAATCAGAGAGCCGGAGAGCTGCCTAGCCACGCGAGCAGAGCTGTTGCTATCTGTCCAGCATGCACCAAGCCCACGTTAACTTAAATCTCTAGGAAACTGAAAAGAAGAGACATCACGAAGTGGCTCGAGGCTAGAAGACAAGTTTTTTTTTTTCACATTTATCTATTGTATTTTGTGCGCTAAGCAAATCATAGCGCATTACAGTGGTAGGCTATTTTATGAAGATATACACAATTGTTTTGGATTGATGCAAGGTTATAAACGTGACTTGATAAAAACTTTTCCAGCACATTTTCATTCTACACACTGTGTATAATAGGAAGGTCGACGTGCTATCTATTATTATTAGTAGCCTATATTTCGATGTACACATTTTTTTTTTTGTAGTTTGCAAGACGTTTGGGATTTAAGTGTACTTTACTGAATGTTACCAAACCGTTTATGTCATTAAATTATATGTTAATATACCAACCTATTCGACCTGTTCTGTAGGCTATATGTACAGAATAGAAGAAAGGTTTATCAGAATTTGCCTCTCTGCACAGAGCATAGTTTTACCCACACAAATAAATAAATTAATGCTAACTAAACAATATAACATGCAACACAAAATATGCACATAATGTCCAATGTACACAAGAACAGAAATGTAAAATCCAAACGAATTGGTTTGCGCAAAGCGTTCTGGAAAATTAAATGTATAGCTAGCTGTTCATTCATTTTACTAAAAAAACAAAAAAAAAAACATAACCCATATTGTATCATAAAAGTATGCATTGCTTTAATGCACAATTTTTTACTTCTAAACTTTTTTTTTCATATTTCACATTAAAATCGTTTTTTTTATAATACAATATTATTATTTAGCACATATGTTAAGCTAAATTATATTATTTTCCCGTTAAAACAACGTTTTATAGTGTATTTCACTTATTCCACCCTGCCTGCAGCGCGCATCTTGAGTTATAACTCACAAGGTGAAAGATGCAGTTCAATCAAACTGCTCCACTGTGCCCAGTCCCTTAAGTTTTATTTAAAGACATCTTTATGAGACAGCCATACAATTGTTCATTAATTATTCAATTGCAAGCAGCTCGCCCCTCTTTGGAAAAAAAATGAAGGGGCACTATTTAGAAATAGTTTGGGGAGAGACCTGCGGCGCCTTTCTCAGTGCGGTATTATGGCGATAGGGGCACAGTCATTTATAAATAATTACACAATGTTTAGAGTCTTCAGGCATGTATGATATATCAAAGCGATTATAAGTTGAATTGTTCCATTGTGCGCCTCTCCTCTCTCTTCTCTCTTCTTTTCAGCTCTGTACGGCTTGTCCTCCGTCCAAATTCTGCGCCTCTGAGCTTTTGTCACTCATTTTTCTCGGCCTGCGACACTCCAATAGCATTATTCTTATTCAAATAGTCCCAGCGTGAACAAAAACACCCCGTTTCTGAGGCACATGTGCTTTGGCTGGCATGAAGTGAAGCACAAGTGGACTAGACGCATACGTTTAGATGCATAAAACGTAGTGAACTTCTGAGAGTCATCGGAACGTGTTTTGATTGTAGAATCAAGAATAGACGATATTTAAATATTCACTTTTATTCAGATATTTATATTTGTTAATTTAATGCATTATATTAGCGTGCTCCTTCTCGTCCCGTTTACGCTTTTATGGCGAATGCATTGGTTTTAAAGCCCCTCTGATGGAGGTCCAGACTGGGGTGATGGGGGGAGATCGATTTTACTATTACAACACCAACCTGTCAGTAATAACTTCAAAGAGGGAAAACAGCTTGAATGACTATTTTGCTTCCAGTCAGAGCATTAGCGAGCTGGTCTGGACCTGGCACTTATTGCTCTAATAAAGTCATAAAAAAGTGATTGTTTTACAATGTTACTTAACATGACTTATTTCCACAAAAGTGATGGATGTGTCAGGGGTTTTTTTCTCCCTAGAAAGGGGCGGTGGGGAGGAAGAAGGGTTTTGCCCACAGCTGAGAGATGTTGCCAAGGAGATTTTGACAGGATTAGGCACAAGTGCACGAGACCTGATTGCATTTCAATAGCAGAAACACGTGAGAAAATGAAACAACTGAATTACTTAAAGAGAGTCTGATCTGGACCCCGAAACAATCATGCGCACTGCACATTTTAAAAAGAAAGCAACGCAACGCACGTGGTTGAGGGTCTGCTGCGTGTAAACTGAAATATGCGAGCTGAATAGAACTGATATTTCAATGCACAATGCACAATGGCTATTGCAACATTAAAAAGAGAGCAGCATTAAAACGCGAAAGATTTGCATGGCAGGTGTGGAAAGGTGCATTGCTCTTGTTCGACCTGTGGCCTCGTACTGCGCGTTTGGATTGGCATGTGACGTGTGAGGCGCAGAACGGTCTTTTAATTTATTTTATATCAATTTATGCAATTCGAATTAAAATTCAATTTTGCATTCGGCCCAGCATTAATCCCCGGGTATTAACGCGATTACTGTTCGCAAAAGATCTTTGAGTCAGAAAGTCTGATAGAAGTTTTCACATGGTAATCCCCGGAATAATCCTTTCCCCTGGCGCTGCGGCAGGATCGGGGCCAGAGGACCTTTTCTCCTTCTTCAGAATTCAAGCAGGGCAGAATAGGGCCATTACTTTTGAACGATAATTAATTCCTTACTCCAGTGCTTCAATTGTAGGAGGATACAGCACCCCAAATAAGAAAATCACCCCCACGGCCTCGAGAAGGCCTTAAGAGACTGAAAATAAATTCTAGGGTTACAATGTTTAAAGACACCCCCTGTTCTAATAGTCTTGGAGCTTTAATAAAATCTCCACTTTATCCTATCTGTTTTTTCATTAACTGCATAAAATTTTGTGCATATAAAACATCATTTTTACAAAACATATTTCCAATGTTGGGAAATGGTGCATTATACCTCTATTCTTTCTTTCTTTTACATTTCTGAAGTTATGTATTCATTCATCTAAATTATTTTTTCCTCAATAACTGGACTGTTGCCTTCTGTATTTTGTGCATGTATTTACAAGCAAAATTCAATATTTGCCATATGTTGTCAAGCATGCCAAAATAAATATGTGGTGTTTTATAATACTATTAATTAATTTACAAACTTATTCTTTGTATTTTTAAAATTTAAAATACATAAAAACATTTATTAAACAACAATACAATTATATTATATCAAATTATTTTATATTGTATTATTAATTTGCAAAAGGAATATTTTATTTTTATTTTTTAATTTAATTTAAATGATTTAATTTACAATAATTTAATATAAATAATAATAATAATATCATTACATATTATTATTACATTTAACATTAAATTTACATGTAACACTATTATTATGATTTAGATATTTAGAGTGGCATGTGTCTTGTGTCTGAAATGCATTTATGATAACTGAAAGCTGCATTTCATAAACATTACATATTTAAATGTTTCTAAATGAACCTATTTGTTTGCCAAATATACCTGTAATGCCATTTTTGTGTGTATATTTACAAGATCTCAAAACAGGTGCTATTATCAAAATGCAATGGAATCTCATTACAAGTGATGTGAATGTAAATTCACGTCTCTCTTTGTGAGTCAGACACATAATGTACCAGTTCGTGAACCTAGTACTATCAATCAGATGTCCGAGTCTAAATACAAACCCTACGGTGGGGCATTGACTTGTCTTGGTGTGTTTGTGCAAGTGCATAATTTACCTCTAGTTTACCCTGCATCAGCGCTAACAATGAGAGCTGTGTCTCTAAAGACTTTATATTTGAAAGTAACCAGGGCAACTCTTTGCTAAAATGAGAAGAAGCTTTGCACAAGCTACATCACCATAAAAGGGAGGAAGTATACAGCCATTCCCTGACTAATGATAAGTTCATACACCTGACCTCACCAGACTGTTCCATGCATTTGACTTTTCGCTTAGTAGACCGACTGTCTTTCTTTTGTTGATGAAAAATGTGCCATGTGTATTTCTGTTTCTAGATGTAATGCATTGTTGGTTGAGTTGATGGCATCACTTGTAGGTGTTCAGATCTATACCATATGGTTTTGAGTGCAATAACTTGAATCTCTCGCCAACAATGGAGTAATTGAGAAGGGAAAGAAGTCTGAGCTTGACTCGACAAAGCTGCAAAAACTCCTTCTTTCACTCTAATGAAGCTGTTGTCTGGAGATTCTGTGTGGGGTTGGGAGGGTGGTGGTGGACGTGATTTGTCATACAATCTGAATCTTTAGGAGGGCTGGAGAAAGACCTCCTCTCCATATGTCTGCTTATTTTGCATCTGAAAGCTACCTTTGGCGAGAGCAGGGGGAGAGGGGGAAGGCAAGTAGGCAACTCTTTCCATCAGCTCTGAGAGCACTCAGATCAACGCTGGAGAAGCTAGGGCTTTGCTCTCAGAAAACAAAAGCGCCACAAGAGAAATATATTACAAAGCAGTGTGTTGTTGGTCGAAATAAACAACAACTGTGGTAGGTTTGCTTACATATGTTCAGTTTCTTCCACTTGATTGTTAAAAAAACCACACCTAAAACGGTGACATCTAAGTTAAGTGGTTTTATTCAAGTCAAAAATATTATTTAATATCACTGAATCAACCTAAACACACCAACAAAACTACATTTTATGGGTTAAATCAAGTAGAAATAGTTTTTTAAGGTATCATTTGCAGGTCACCACTTTATTTTACAGTGTATAATATTTCCTTTGTATAAATCATTCACAGAAAATCAAGAAAAAAAGCAAAAGAAAAAATGTATATGGGAGTTATGCATTATTTGTTTCCTTTGAAGGCGGAATTTCTGTGTTGCAGAAAGTGATTAAATTAATTCATTATAATAATATATTTTATTAAAAAAAGCAATGCATATTTTATATATTTATTTATGCATTTGT